CCCCAAAACCCCAAAACCCCAAAACCCCAAAACCCCTTTTTCTAGATAATATCAAAATAATAATTTTAATACAGAACTTCCATAATGAAGCCTCAAACTTGGAGTATTGATCAAGATAAAGTAGGACACTTCTACTTAAACCAGATAAAACCTTTCTATATTATTTTCTACATTTTTGTACGACTTAGATTTTGAAAAGAAACATTGTGAGAATTAAGCTAGTGTAAATACACATTCATAAACTATGTCTTCTATTGGTATGCTAATCAACCTTTCTCATAACTCTTTATCAGCCTAGCCCATGTTCAAAGGGATTTTCAAAAGAGGCTTTGAGAATAGACCCTTTACAAACTCCTCAAATCATTGAAACGATGTCTAACCTATCTAAATAGAAAAATGATGAATGTAATTGGGATTGCATTCCTGAAGAGCCCTCTCCAATGCAGCCTCCGCATTCTTGATGTAAGCTTAAATTTTCAATAAGTCTCCTTTTATTCGTACTCTAAAATCCCTGTACAGGAATTTATAAATAAAAGAAACACTTTATTACTCAATAAGGGCAGAATTAAGAAATAAAGACATCCACACCTTCAGAGAGCAAAGAAGAAGTGTAAATGAAGAAATTTCTAGTGTTTTTAATTCTCCAAGTCAAACTAATGCTTACACTTGCACTAATAAAAGCTCAATGCTTGCTAATCTTTACCCTCATGCTAAAAGTAGTTTTATTGATCACCCAGATCACCTTTCGAAGCATGAGGAAACTAAGTGTAAGAGATCTAGAAAGAAAAAATATATCCGAAGAAATAGGTGCATCTCAATACCACGAAAGAACACTGCAGACCCGATGATGCAATTTGGCGCCAAACGCTATAAAACTAAAAGTTTAAAAAGGGCCAAGTAAGATTTGCTACCTCTTCAGACGTTCGTATTTTTACTAAATATTTTAATATTGATATACTATTATAGGCACAAAATTTCGAAGGAGAAGAAACCTAGTACTATGACATTCAAACCACTGAATGTAAGTTATTCCTTATTTCCCTTCTAATATTATCTAGTAACTCTTCTGGATGCATGAGCTAGATAGACAATTGGAAATGAAGTTTTAAACCTCCAGACAAAAAACTCTATCAGCTTCATATTTATTATCTCAACTATTGACTCGAAACAACGAGTATCTGGAAGACTTACAAAAGCTTCCTCAAATTGCAGTAAATAATTTATGGACTTTTTATTAATAAATAGACAAATGGGTAAATTTAGAACGTTTCGGTTCCTTGGTAACTTCTTCATTGCCAGATTGATTACCAAGGCAAACCCTATTTTGAACATAATTAGAAACCTAACGCTTGAATGCTGCGTGATGGGGGTTTTCTTAGATAGATTAATTGAAAATTTATTGGAATTATTTTGCCGTCAGCAATTCATATCAAAATTTTAAAAGATTATTACTGTGCCTGACTTTTGAATCTGGCCTCTTCCCGTCTATTTCTATATCTTGGTAATTTTCTCGGAATGATTTCAAAGAGTTTCCAGCTCAATTTCGTTAAATATGGATACTTCTCGCTGGCTGAAAGTTAGTAGAATAGCAATAATATATTTGGTACTTAATTATTTAAGTTTTTAATCTTTTTTATTAAAACCCTCTACTGGCGGGGTTTTGGGGTTTTGGGGTTTTGGGGTTTTGGGG